GCACACCGAGCTCAAACATCTCTTTTTTCAGAGCTCATTTAATTTCGCGTCCTTAATCATTCTATTCTTTTTTTTGTTATTATTATTATATTATGAGAAAAAAACGTTCGTATGGTCGGTCAGTCAGATACGTGCCGGGAGTATATATATACATGATATAAACATATATATAGATATATCTATATTCAGATAGAGATTATAGCAAGATAAAAGCATTTGTGTACTCGACGAACACATTAAAATTTGACTGCTCTATGTTCTTGAAGAAAAGTCCGAGTAAAACATAGTGCAATCATAGATAACAAAACGGTNTTCTTAGTGCTGTATCGGGGGTTTTTTCTTTAGGAAAGTCGATCATGTTTTCAATAAGAATCTTATAAGAATAACGTACGAGTTACCAATTTTAGAATTCTTGTAAGATTCTTATGAGATTCAGCAGAATTCTTGTCCCTTTCACCGAAGATCTTATATAAGAATTGAGTAAAATTCTTATGAGATGCTTGTAAGATTCTTACAATGCATGGATCAGAATCCATGGATAGACTATTATTTTTAGCAGTATACTAGGGTGGCTAATTCTTCCACCTTCGTTAGAAAAATTCTACTTTTTGAAACTTTTTCTACTTTTGTGTACTTTTCGAGAATTTGTCTGTCTTTGGTATTTTCCTTGAAACTGAAAAACCATTGCATGTTGTATTGAAGCATCCTCTACTTCAGTTCGAAGGTTTCTTGATAAAGCTTACTGGAGTTTCAATTTCCAAAAGAAATGGAAATCAGAAAATAAACAAGGGTACTACTAAAACGCGTAATTATAAGGCTGCATTAAGGAGGCGGCCTCCCATTTAGATTTTCGTCCAACGTTCCCGGTTTGTAGAGGATACTTCGAAGTATATGTCCTGAAGTTTTCTTGGCTTACTGACATTATTTGGCTGAGAAAAATTAATTACTTTAAAAAATATTGTTTTTATATAATAAAGTTTTTGAACAAGGGACTATTATTAGCAGAATTCCTGTTCATTCTCCATTCATCATAAAAACTTGATTCTTGTCTAGATCGATAGAGACATGTGCGGAGAATATTTACTACGAGAAAATATGTAAACCTTTTTGTTCTTTCCTTCCTGTTATTAACTAATTAGCACTAATTAAGGTTAATTCAGCCTACTCTACTACCTTACAGTCCCATTTGCAAACTCAACAAAAGAATTTAAGCTGTACCTCACCTAACAGGGAATTTCACGAGCTACAAGACTGGCTAGCTTAAGAGTTTTAGAATCCCATTCATTCATTAGAATTTTTTTATAGTAGTCCCGTGGTCAAAAATTTAACAATATTTTTTTGAAGTAATTAATTTTTTTCTCAGCCAACCAAGGTCAGTATGCCGAAAAAGCTTCAGAACATATACCTCGAAGTATCCTCTACAAACTGGGAAAATTTATCAAAACAATTCAAAACTAAAGAATTTCTCTAAATTTTAGCTAAGCGAAAATATTTTCACAACATCTAGCTTCAATAAATCCAATATTTGTTTTTCCAGTAGCTGATTCATATAAAATGTACGAATCATCAGTTTTTAATTTTTTACAATATTCTGTTGATCTAAATTGTGTTGATGATGAATCTGTACATTATTTAACTGAAAATCTTGTTGAATTAATATAAGTTTGAATAATATTTGTAATTTTATCATTATTGATTTCCAGTGATCTTGTTGAAACTAAATATGTTCGTCCTTGAGTTGTTGTTACTTTGTCAAATGCTTGTGGTGCTTCACGTTGATGTTTAAATAAATTTAATACAAAATCATAAAGTTGTTTAGGATAATATTTTGAACGAACTAAACGTAACGAAATTTTAAATGAGTTATTATTTGTTGTACATGTCCATTTGTACCATGTGTTAAACGATTTAATATTCCTAATATATTTTCATAATTAAATGTAGTATAATGTGGCATTGTTTCATTTTGTTTAACACAATCACTAATGCTAAAACAATTGTAATCTTTCGATATTCTGACCGTTGTTAAAGTTTTTTTACTTTCTTACTCTATTTCTTTGTATGTTTTTTGCTATTTATTTTATTATACAATTAATAATAAAAGTGCATAACATATGTAGAACAAATCTAAAATTGTATCAAAAGCGGCTATTTTGGAACAAATTCGGGTGTTTCAAGCAGTTTTTTAGATGAATACTGTATTAGAAAACCCGTGGATTTTTAACAAAAAAAATTGCGGGCTGGCGGCGGCTTTTTCATAGAAAAAAAAACGCGGCTGTAGGCGGTTTTTTTTACGCGGTCGTTGACCGCGGTTTTGTGCGGGCAAAGCGGTTATTTTGAAACAAATTCGGGTGACTACAGCAGTTTTTTACATAGCCATTTAGCCGCTTTGACCGCTTTTTTAGGCAGTTTTTTCTTCGATTTTTTCTGTATGGGATCGTTTTGTCAAACACTTGGATTAATACCGTATAGTTCAAGTGCGTCATGCATGAATGGTCATGATAAATGATATATGGGCAAATCTTCAAGAACCCATGATAGTTAGTAATCAAAAGAACAATATAACCTCAGAAAGCAGTTCACAAACTTCGGTACATACCCAGAATATTAGGTAGTGCGGAGTCATGACTTGTATCCCGATCTGAATAAAATCCTGATCGGCCTATACGATTATCCTGATTGAGCTAATCGTGTAATTCTAATTTGTGGGGGGACAGTTTTACGGTCCGTATTTTCTCCGTACCGTAAACGTGTCGTATATGATCGTTTGCGGTACTTTACGGTTCAAATACGATAACCTGTGAATACACCGTTTTTCAATCGTTTACTGCTGTTTACAGACCGTTATGTCCGACCTGGATGCGAACGCCAGGTCGTCGAAAGCGTTATCGTTAACGGGTCGTTTTTAGGCCTTTTTCAGGACATATTTCAAGTTTCATTATTTTTGATCATGAACTGAAAAATATTATGTTCTGAATATTTTCAATTTTCTGGATTCGTTTGAACCATGGTTTACCAGTCTCAGGGGTATGGTATTATCACTAGTACTGGATACGTCTAATAAGGCTACTCCCTTCACACAAACTTCGATGACTTATATACTAGAGGAAGAGAAAAATTTCGAAGTTATAAACTCGATATATATTCGAAGAAAATCAGCGTTCCATTTATACTAGTAGCAGAAGCGAAACAAAGAGGTGAATGACTTGTCGACAAAACGGCCTAAAAACGGTCAGTTTACGGTATAGAACATATACTATTTTTATCATGAAACGGCTCACGAGGACATTGGAACATAAAGATCTTGACAGACGCTGTCGAGCGAGAACTATCGACTGTATATCATTTCGTTGTAACTGACTATTGATTAAAAGTACTTGTCTGATACGGCATAGTTACAGCGCGTATACTGCGGTCGAATACGCCGCATTTACGTAGCACCGTAAACGAAAACTGTATACGGCGCCGTATTATACCGTAATTGAACTGTAATACGGTGCACCGTATACGGTCACTGTTTCATTCCGAAAATCACCGTAATTTAGCCAAATACGGTCGTTTACGTATCGTATTGTTCGACCTGGGTAGGTTATCATCATCCGATACTTTGGGGACCCCCATGGATTCATATGCAGTTTTGAGTGCTCTACCCGATGGCGGTTTTGGATTTCAGTAATCACCTTTATTTTTTTCCAAAACGAAAGTTTTTTAAAAAAAATCAAAAAAAGTCCGTTCCGGATATATTTTATATCCCGATCAAAATACGCGATTTTTGATCGAATTTTTATGCAGTATCCCAAACGATGCATATAGCCGACCCC